AGATAATTTATCCCTAAAGCAAAACCAGTTTTGATGGTCATCTTAGGCATTGCTGATTTTTAAAATATTGACTGGGATCCCTTATCTTCGGAGTTTACTGGCTCTCAGGTTACCTCAGTCACCATCTTTTTGCCTCCTCACCTTTGCTGTCTTCCTATTTCTTTCCCTATTCTTTTCTTTCACTTTTTCAAGCTCAAAATGACTAAACTCTTCTCCCTGGGTTTGTAGGACAATTTCTTTCCACCCTTAAAAATTTGTCATCTGTGGTCACCAGGCTTCTGTGGTCACAAGGCTTCTGTGTAGACCGGGAGTTGGAAGATCAGGAGGCAGTGCTCACCTACTTCTATACACAGACACATATTAAAGCAGCTTTCCAAACAAAGGCATACATCCTGTACAGTGCATTCCAGTAAATAAAAATTTCACGACCTCATCACATGTTTGTTTCTATCTATTTAATCGATAGCTTAATACAATTCCAGTGGTTTATGGTGGATTATTGTGGATGCTTGGCTCTAAATTTAACCCTGTTGGGCTAACTTCTCTAACACGAAGTTGGGCAAAAGATGGGAAGGCAATGAATTCATTGGAGTAATAAAAAGTTTGGAATAATAATCTAAAATGAGTACCAAGATTTTTTTTTGTGGTAACAGGAATCAAACCTAGGACCTCATGCATGCTAAGTATGTACTCTACCACTAAGTTTATCTATCCCCCGACAGTGAAATTTAATAGGCATAAATGGTACACTTAGATGGAGACTAGTGATGTGGCTCAGTGGTACAGCATTTGCCTAGCATGTATAAGGCCCTGGGTTTGCTCCCAAATGTTGAAATCCTCCTCCCCTCTCCTGGAAAACAAAAACAAAAAAATCTTAGATGAACACATAAGAATCAGGAGATATATGGCTTGATAGTCATTTTTATGTGTCACCCTGGCTTGGCTACAGTCTTCAGTTAATTGATCGAACACTAATCTAGTTGTTGCTCTGAGGGTATTTTGTACATGTGATTAAATCTGTAATTGGAAGAGATTATCCTAGATAATCTGAGTTCGCCTGATTCAATTATTGGAAAGCCTCAAGAATAGAATTGAGGTTTTGGTGGGGTGTACTTATGGACAGTGGCTTCAGCTCATGCTGAGGGTTCCAGGCTGCTTTTCCTGACAACCTGCCCTACAGATTCGGAATTTGCCCAGTCAGAGCCCAGAGCCACATAAGCCAACACACCCTCCCCAGTGAACCCTTCAATATATAACTATCTCCTACTGTATCAGATCTGCTTCCTAGGGAAAAATGTTTTCATTAGAACTCCCTCCCTTCCTAATCTCTTTACCACCTTTCTTCCTAGTCTTTTTAAGAACCTATCCCCTTTGGTATTCTAATGTCAAAAGACCCTCTTCTCTCTTCAGTTCATATAAATGAACATGCAGAAGATTACGGTCTGTGAGAAAAGAAAAATTGTCTGTCTGAAAACAAACATGCAGGTCTGGCCCTAAGAGGTCCAGATCCAGTTTTGTTTGGATGAAAGAGGAGAGAAGCCAAGAATAGTCCTGGAGAAAACCTTCCCCGACCCAGCTCACTGTTTTCCTCCCAAAACAGCCCTTTGCACATCTGAGCACAGAAGATAGAAATTTGAGACAACAAAGGCATCTTTATCTTCTTTGGAACTAGGTCTGATTAAAACTCTTTCCTTATGTTATTTTCTGTCTCCCAAGTCTTTTGGGGAGTAGGAAGTAGTCCAGATGTTGAGATGCAGTAACACTACTGGTTCCTTTTACTACCTTTGGTTGAACCCTGACTTAATATATTTTTAGAGCTTTTCAGTTGGCCCTGAATTCATTCCTCTCATCATTTGGTGCCAAAAAGAAACAACGGGATCTTAGAGAAAATATGCCCAAGCTACTGTGCTCATGGAGGCAGGCAATAGTGGTACTGTAAAGTGCACGGGGCAGTCCATAGCAGCATTGTTAGTTGTAGAACCAGCTACCATACTTTGACACAACTAACACTAAGGTCACTGTTGGGAATGATTTCTGTTCAATGTAAGTTTATGAGAAAGAGATGTCTTAAAGAATATCACAAGCTGCATTAGAAGATACTGTGAGCTCACTAACAGGTGTTGAAAGAACTGGTGTCATCTTCCAGGAAAACCTGATGAAAGTTATTAGACGAGATTCCAGGTCCCATTTTGCTCTAAGAGTCTTTAATTTTACTTTTAGTATTTGTACTTCTATTGTATGCGTGCAAAAGTTCTTCATTGTCTTAGCTCCTGACATTGGATCTGCCCTGTCTGGAAAGCCAGTTTGTTGAGTGGCTTCTGGTTGCCTTTCCAGATTCTTCCCATCCTGTTCTGTGTCCTGGGACTCAAACCTCTGTGGACTGCATCAATGAGTTCTCTTCCCCTCCAGATTCTGGGTAGGTTTGGCAAACAGGCACCAGCAGAAGTATGAAGGGTAGACAGAGAATGAAAGTGGGATTTTCATTTCTTGGCTCCCCAGTCAGAGTCTCTGCACCTGGCGCTGTTCTTTGACCTAAGGTCACAGTTCTCTGTCAGTGTCTTCTCCACATACCTCTTGCTTCCTTTCTCACCATTGCAGTAGCCAATGCTGATCTGAAGTCTTTCAGGACCTCAGGATGATGATGCCCTTTCTTGTTACTAGCCTGGGGCAACTTCGTGATTTCCCTACATCCTCTCTACACCTTCAGAAAAAGTCTCCTGATTAAACTTTTCTCAAAAGACAAAGTTTAAATGTGCCATTTACTTCCTGCCAAAACTCTCATCATACTTCAAGTAGTCAATATTTCTATCTAAAGCCAACACTTCAACTGATCAATGAACTAATCTTTTAGGGTAAATATAGGAGATTACAAAATTAGTTTTAAAAAATCTTTGTCAGAGTAGTAGTCTCAAAAAAAAATGAATAGAAACTAGAATCAATAAGTATCCTTTTAGCCTGTAAAGTAATCTCTCCCTCTAGAATCCCACAGTTTTCAAGTTTTATATATTGCTCTTAATAGCAGTGATCACTTTTCCATGTTTACTTCTGTTTGAAGGACCTACTTTCTAATTTATGTAAGTCTTGATGAAAGGGTATTATGACTGATATGACAGGGGTTCTCAAATGTCCTTGGAAGTATGTATCATAGGCAGCAGTGATGAATGTGTGTACAATCCCTGAAGGTCTGAAAGACAGCAAGACATTTGCTTGAAATCTTAGGTTTGACAATTTAAACCATGAATTTTAAAATCTACTGTATACACTGTAACTGTTAATTTTTAAATAAAAATGTCCTCAATTTCTTACCATTATATTTTCCCTTAAAACCTTCAAATGCATTTGGTGCTCAAGAAGTTACAGCATATTGATCCCATAGTTCAGTGCTTCCTCAAAGTCATTTTGAGAAGAATGGAATTATAATTTCTTCATATGATCAGCTATTTTTGTGAGAGATGCATATAGCCCAGTGGCTAGGAGCTATAGGGCATTGGTTCTAGAAGATCCAAGTTCCTATTCTAGTTTCCCTAGGAAATAGCTTTATGATGTTGTGCATATTACCTTATTTCTCTGTGCTTCTGGTTTCTCATCTACAGGATGAGATAATAGCAACCTATCTGAAGTTGGATAAACACTAAATACAGAAAATGGTCAGTTATAGTTCACTTATTACTATCTATGGTTATTAGAGCATTACCACTTCCATGTAAGGGAAAGAGATCTCATTTGAAGGGTGACATTGTTTACTTCTTAAAGCAGAAAAATCTCTTTCAAACAACCTCTACTATCTTATTTGCCAAATTAAACAGGGCTCTTGATTTCTTCTATCCAATCTGCTTACTCATGTCTACAACACATGGAATACTTGCAGCTAGTTACATATGCTTTAGTACACACGTGCGCATTCTATTCCCACCCCTTGCACACTTACAAAAGGTCAAGGGGACTTGTCCCAAAATCTCTTGGAACATGTTGCAGATTTACTATAACTGCAGACTTCAAATGAGCAAAATGTAAACTGATTACACTTAAGTACAAAAAGAATATGTGATGTACTGTAATTGAAATACTATGAGAAAATTTGATAATGGAGAGTTACTAAAATTATTCAGTAATTTTGTAAGTGAGGTATTTTTGCTTGGGAGAAAAAAAATCCAAAAATCTGGTGGGATTCTGCACGACATTTTCCCTATGTCTTTCGCTCTTCACCCCATAAGAAACTTGAGCTGGGAAAGCACAGAGGATGCTGTTTGGATGTGATCTATAATCGAAAAGCCAATCAACAGTAGTATGCTAAATAAAAGATAGGCCATGTTTCTATATCAAAGAATTCCAAATAGATGTTTCAGTGTGTGTGATTTAGACTTAAAATGAATCAGATATGTACATTTTTACAATACCATTAAAACTGATATTCTTTCTTAATTTCTTTGCTGAAGATGTTTCTCTATTTAAATAAGAAATTAATAAAATGGAAGTTCATATTTATTTATTAGAAAAGAGAAAGTTTTCCTGCCTTAAGCTTAAATAAAATGTTAAAAATAATTCTTAAACTTCATAATTGAACTCCAATTAAATTCTGCACAAAGACTCTTTGGAGACAATTATTTTCTGGAATCTTTTCACTTGCAGAGAAATCTAACAACTAATCAACTTTGTTTTTATTAGGGAGTGTCTTAGATTTCTAGACTAAAAAAATTATGCTATATTAATTTTGGTTTTCTTTGAAGTCTTAGGGTTTTTATTAGCACAAAAGCTGATAAATGTTTTACCCACACAATCTTGGAGACTTTTTCCTCCATGAGATATGATTAGTAACCTTGCTTATTATCATTAGTACAAATTCTGAATCTAAACAGGGCCAGAAGCTGACAAAATATAATACTTTTGCTTATATAAATATTTGGCTGTGTCCTAAGACTTCTGTTAAAGCAGCTATAAAATATACTTTTAGATTACCTGAGTTATTTTAAATTTACATGTGAGAGGTGTATTCTACTTACAATGGTTTGTATTTCTCTTTGGGAGATCTCTATTTTCAATTCCTTGTATTTTTAATTTGTGTTGCTTCTTTCTTTCTAAGAGATTTTCTCTTGCATTGATTACTTCACCTGATTTTTTTTGTTCCAGCATATGTGATACAAATTGTTTGTCTTCATTCACTGATACCTGCAAAAAAGGTTTTTGTTCATTTTGTTCATGTATAACTTTAGAAAATTGAAAATGAAAAGCTTATATTTGACAAAAACACATGATTAATACAATTACTCTAATTTTTGCATTTTTCAAATATAAATGACATATGGCTTACTTCACTTTGGGAATCCATATATTTTATGAGTGAAAACCTTTTAAACCTATTACATGACATCTGAACTGCAGGGTCAACTGTTATTTGTACAAAGAATCAAACTCAGGACCTGTGCTTGCCAGGTAGGTGTGGTGCCACCGAGCTAAATCGCCAGCCTCAGGGTCAACTGTTAAAAGCTAAAAATAGTAAGACAGTTTAACCAATTTACTCTTCCACTGGTTAGTTGTCATGGTAATCTCAATTGTGTGAGCTAAAGAAAAAAATGAAGATGTTGACATTGCCTTACACATTACAACAAATTTATAATTAATTGTGACTATATTTAAAAATGTAAAAACATGTTTTCTTGAAGTGTTTTTCAGTATAAAATAATGCAGAGTTTAAGAGAAAAAATTAAAAAGCTTTGTGGAGGAAAATATTCATAATTTACATATATATTTTCAAGATAAAGTATATTGGAAAATTAAATTTTTTCTTTGTCAGTAAGTACATCTAAGGAATCAAGATTTTTTCACAGGCGTTTTCCTCCATCTTTTTCTCACTATCCCTCTTTCTAGCATGAATTTCTTGCTTCAGTGCTGTCAGTGTAGTACCAAAGACAGCAGAGCAGTGACCCAGAGACCAGAGCTTGCGGAGATTTTTGACATGCAAGAACTTCTAAAAATAGTTTCATTGAGATATAATTCACATACTATAAATTAATCTACTTAACATATACAATTCAGTAGTTTTTGTAATATTCACAAATAAGTTCAACCATCAGCACAGTATTTTATCACCTCAAGAAGCAACCACAGATCCTTTATCTATCACCTACCCTATTTTCCTATCCTTCTACTCTCAGCCCCAAGCATCCACTAAGCTAAATTATGTTCTGTCATTACAGATTTCCCTACTCTGAACTTTCAGAGGGATGGAATCTTACAGTATCCTTCTTTCCTTCCTTCCTTCCTCTTTCCTTCCTTTCTCTCCCTTTCTCTCTCTCTTCTCTCTGCTCTCCCCAGCATTTTTAAGATAATATTTTCAAAGTTAACTCATGCTCCAGCATGTATCAGCCTTTTAATGTCCAAATGATATTCCTTATATGTATAAACCACATTTTATTCACCCATTCATCCAGTAGTGGACATTTGGCTCTTTCCACCTTTTGGCTATTATGAGCAGTACTGCTCTAAACATCCATGTACATGTTTCTCTGTGGACATGTAAAGACTTTGAGTATAATTCTTATTTTGTAGGGTAGATAGATTCACCACATAAAAACTATGAAATGTCCAGTTAAATCTGACTTTGAGATAAGCAAGGATTATTTTTGGTGTAAAAATGTCTTCAATGTGGCATTTTAACAGATTAGAACAGCATTATAATATTTCCCAGCTTCCAGGTATAGATTTCAAGGTCTGTCTGAGCCCTAATATCTTGCAGAAAGAGAGGGAAAGAGCAAAGAACATGTGTAGAAAAGGTTTTTGTTTTGTTTTATTTGGTTTGCTTTGCTTTCTTTCCTTTAATAGGGCAGACTTGGAAATGACACATTATGCTTTCAGCCACTTTCCTTTGGATGAAGCTCAGTCACGTGCTCCACTTAAGTATGAGGCAGCTGAGAACCCTGATCTCCCTTGGTTTCAGGAAGAACAGAACATGAAATTTGTTGGGCTTCCTATGTGCTCTAGTGTAATGGGATTATTGTATTATTGCCATTAAAAGAACTGTCTTTAATTTTTAAATTCAAGCACAAGAAGTATGTAAGTGGAGGAAGCAGTAAAGCTCACAAATGCCTGTGATTGTGTGCTGTCTCTATCTCCTTTTTCTATGGAGGCCAGTGTTTTCTGACTTTGCTTTCCTCTCTCACCCATTGAGAGGGAGCCAGCTGGAATAAGTATCAGGGAGTCTTGGAAAGAGGCTCTCTCTGACTTTTAAAAGCATCCAAAGGCTTCAATAACAAATATTTATTGAACATCTACCTCAGGTTCTGTTCTAAGAGCTAGAGATACAGTCATGAATAAAATATCTCTGCCCTCCTAATGTCAATTTTCAACTGATAAAATGAAGCAATTTAAAGTTAGTTTTACTGGATATAGGATGGTTAGGGACAAATTCTCCCACACATTGGAGTAGACGCCTATGGGAAGGGAGAGAGTCATGCTTATCTCTCAAGAAAGTGAGTTCCGGCAGAGAGAGCAGCAAATGCAAAGGCCTTGAAGCAGGAGCACACGGGAGCACAGGATTTGTTAACAGCAGAGCCATGGGGCAGCCAGGTAGCTGTCCGGCCAGGCTCAGGATGGTGCGTGATGCTCTATGTGAATGTCAGATGGCTTTGGAGGGTCCTGAGCAAGAGTTTTAATGAATGACTGGCTTTGAGTTTAAAAGGGTCATTTCGGCTGCTGTGTTGAGAATATTAATATGTTGGGCTAAGGGTGGGAAAAAGAGGAAGTGAGCTGAAACAAAGCAGGCGAGAGGTGATACCGATACTGACATAAGCAGATGGCAGAAGGGGAAGTAATGGCACTGATTGGTTCCAGGATGTGTTTTGGGAGTGTTACTGAGAGGAGGCTCTCTGAAAGCTTTATAATGTGTATTCAAGTTTTTGTTTTGCATGGGTTTTTTGGTACCGAGGATTGAATTCAGGACCTCACACTTGTGAGGCAGGTGTGGTGCCACTGAGCTAAATCCCTGGCTGTATTTTTGTTTTTAAGCAGCACACCCAAAGGGAATACTTCGGCGAAGTATTTTTTTAAACTTCCAAAGTCCATTTAGTCAGAGACTGAAGCTCTGTTGCAGGAGTCTCTTGCTTCTTCACCTGTCCTCCTGTTTCTTCACTCCCCAAATCTTCAAGATTCATGCTGGATGAGTTTTTCTCAAGTTCCCTTTTGAACGCATCATTGCCCAACTTAGATTCCTTTCATCCTCAGTGACAGCAGGATATAGTCAAACTCCTTTGCACAGAACTATGATTCTTCACAGTCTGCCCTGAAAATGTCAGAGTGACCTCAGGTCTTACTACTCCTACAGCTAAGGGAACATCTGTGAGAGCCAAACTCCTCTCACTCTTCCTAGTAGTATAGGTTCTTGCCTCCTTCCTTGTGCTGGCTTCGCAAGTTCTCATCGCTCCTCCTTATTTTGTGATGCCAAGTTTTACTCCCGTTCCAAGGCTCAACTCAGATTCTTTCTCCCCAAGTCCCTCCGTCATCACTGTGACCCGGAGTCATCACTCTTCCTCTGCACTGGTGGTTTCTTTCCTTCTTGGTCAACAGTCGCTCACTGCTGCGCAGTGTCTACAGTGACGTCATTTTACATTATCCATTTCCTGCTTTATTTACTCAATTCATTATAGTTTGTAAATTTTTTAGTATCTTATTCATTGAAAGTAGGGTACTATGAGTAGAGGGGAAGGTAAAGAATGTGTAGATTTCTTTATTACTAATTTATTTGTAGCTAAATCTTGTTTTTGTTTTCGTGCCTTGACACCTTTCCAAAGTAGGATCTAGTCCTATAGTGTTTCATCCGAAGGCAAAAATAAGCACACAAACAAAACCTGTGCTATCATGCAGCAAAGCTTCTAGTCAGATAGTGAGACCCTGCCTCAAAATTTGAAATTTGTAAAGAAAAGAAAAAAAAGAGGGGAGGGTGGCTGGAGGTCCAGCTCTGTGTGAAGACCTGGACTTTATCCATACTGGATAAAACAAGTCAGTCAAGGTCTGGAAATATGACATCAGGGTTTTTACATTAACTATTTTTATTCTGAAACAACATCCAATTTTACTTTTTAAACATAAGAAATCTGAGTACTTGTTTGGTATCTGTTTAACATATAAACAGATATGTTATTCATAATTGCCTGTCTTACTTGCTCTTACCTCAGAATAAATGTGCTGATGATTTTTAAAATTTCACTTATATTCTCTTCATAGTATTCTGTTCACCACTTATTACCTGTGTCTAACTGTAGGCAAGTTAATTAACCTCTGTGACTCCATTTACCCCTCAGTTAAATAGAGGCAATAATATTGCCTATCTCATTAGGTTTTTGTGAGGATTGAGTAAGTTAATGCATGTGAAGAATATTGTACATGGTAAACAATCAATAAATACTGGCTATTAATACTATTATTATTATATTGACTATATATTTTCTGTGTAAATGAATGTTCTTGTTTGGGATCCTAAACTACAAGGACTTAGATCCTACAACTATTTAATTTACTCCGTTCACCAGTAAACTATAATGTCCTGATTCCGGGAAATCTGTATATATTATTGTTTTTTTAACATAGTTTAAAAAATATCTTAAGCAAAATATCTAAAAATAATTTTACTAGTAGAAAATTCTAATATGCCATACGTTTTTGTACTAATTTTATTCAAAGACACTGAACTGTAATTTTAGAATGTCCTAGGTTCCTGTTGCTACCTGGGCTGTATTTGATGCTAAATGTATTAGCTCCCAAATCCCATACTTATTCTTTTTTTGAGGCAGGGTCTTGCTAGTAGTCCAGGCCAGCCCTGAATTCACCGTGTAGTCAAGACTGGCCTCAAATTTGGCAGTGATCCACCTGCCTCACCACACTTATTCTTGAATAAATTTTGTAATAAAAACATGACTAATGCAAAAGGACTTTAATGGCCTCCTCAAATAGTTTTTGGAGGCAGCAAGTATGAAATAAGTAGCGAAAGAACCTATAACAGCTTTATGAAAGTACTGACTCATCCATCTGAGACATATGTTAGGAATTAAAGGGATCGTAGCAAATAAGGAAAAAAAGATTTTCCAATCTTATAGAGTCCCCCTTTGATTGTGAGAAGGAAGACAATAACTGGTAAACAAATGATCAGGTTAGAATCAGGTATCAATAAATGCTAT